CTGTGTGCGGAGCACGGGCTGGGACTGGTGCCGAACACGGGGAGTTCGGGCTGCAGGTTCCACCCCATCCTGCCGCTTTCGGAGCTGTCCCAACAGCTCCAGCATCCGGAGCAGCCCCCTTCCAGGCTCAGGCCCTGGGGCTGTCGTCTGAGCTTGTCCCATGGCCCAAAGGACGGTCCCTGTGACGTGTCCCTGCTCCCAGAGGGACGTGTCCCGTCCGGACGCTCACGGAAGTGTCACTGTGTCTGTAGTAGCCCGGCCTGGGGTCCTTTGGCCTTTCGGAGCTGTCCCAACAGCTCCAGCATCCGGAGCAGCCCCCTTCCAGGCTCAGGCCCTGGGGCTGTCGTCTGAGCTTGTCCCATGGCCCAAAGGACGGTCCCTGTGACGTGTCCCTGCTCCCAGAGGGACGTGTCCCGTCCGGACGCTCACGGAAGTGTCACTGTGTCTGTAGTAGCCCGGCCTGGGGTCCTTTGGCCTCTGGGGAGTTTGTGTCCCGTTGTGACCTCCCCAAAAAGGCTCTTCTTTGGGGACGAGCGCCCCGCTCGCGCGCTGAGCCCTGCTCCTTTGTGTCGCAGCGTGGACAACAGCGAGTACATGAGGAACGGGGACTTCCTCCCCACGCGCCTGCAGGCGCAGCAGGACGCCGTGAACATCGTGTGCCACTCCAAGACCCGCAGCAACCCCGAGAACAACGTGGGCCTCATCACCTTGGCCAAGTACGAGCGGGCAGGGGGTGTCCGGCCGCCGGGGCCGGGTGGTGCGACGAGCGGGTCGAGGCTGGAGCTGTCACCGCAGCTCTAGGAGGGAGCGTTTCTTCGTCCTCCTGGAGCTTGGAGGAATTTGGTGCCTTCAGAGCTCCCTCTCGGCCAGAGTCGGTTAAAATCAGCCTCGGAGGCCCGTGGGCAGCGAAGGGTTTTGCAAAGATCCCAGGTAAAAGGTTGCCAGTTTCAATGCATTTTCTTGCAGTAACTGTGAAGTGCTGACCACGCTGACCCCAGACACAGGCCGGATCCTTTCCAAGCTCCACACAGTGCAACCCAAAGGGAAGATCACCTTTTGCACAGGAATCCGAGTTGCTCATGTAAGTGGTCGCTCCCAGGTGAGTCTCTGCCTTTCTCTGAAGCTCTTTCTGCCTTGCTGAGTCCTGATTCTCCTCCTGAGGCCTGAGCTCCGGTTCTGTTTGTGCCTCCGGGGCTAAGCAAAGCAAATCACTGAGCTGATCAAATGTCCTGAGCTGATGAGCCAAACTCTTCCCACCTCCTTAACTGAGGCCTCTCCACCAGGGCATGGTCACCTGCCCTGGTATTTAGCCTGAAGTTTCCCGTGTGTAAATTCCCCTGGAAGCAAGAGAAGTAACTCTTGGCCGTCCCTTCTTTCCTGGGAGCTGTTCACTAAGTGCCCTGTGACCCTTGTTTTGCAGCTGGCTTTGAAACATCGTCAGGGCAAGAATCACAAGATGCGGATCATCGCCTTTGTCGGGAGCCCCGTGGAAGACAACGAGAAAGATGTGAGTGGCGACAAGGGGCTCTTTTCCCAGGGAAACACGATCCGCTTGTGCTCCAAAGGGAGCCTTATCCCTCGGCGTGGGACTCGGGGTGGCCTCGGAATGGGAACAGCTGGGCCAGAGCCAGGGACAGAGATCCGGATCTTGGGATGGGTTGGGTGGGATCGCTTCCTTCTCCCAGCTCCGGCTGCTCCGTCTATTCAGGGAGCTTCTGTTGTGTCCTGGGCCTCCCGCCTTCTGGTTGTCACCTGTGGGCTTTTAAGGGAAAATACCCTTAGCAGAAACAACGCTCTGACGTTTAGGAAGATGCAGCTTTGTGCCTGAAACAAAGCCAGCAAAGTTCATCCAGATATTTGGGGTCGCTCTCAAAGAGCAAGTCAAAAACCTGTTAGGTTCAAGGGTGGAGATGATGTTCCCAGCTCCAGACTCTCTGCAGAATCGTTGGAGCCAGTTGATTCCTCTGGCAGCAAGAGCTGCTTGGTGGTGCCTGTTGCACATATGGACGTCTTAAATGCTTTATTCCTGGAAAATACCTCTGGAGTTCCTGAGGGCTACAATTTGGGAAACTCAAATCTCAAGGAGTGAATCCGGAGTGCTCCAGCCCGGTTCCCACTTAGCTGGATATGTCTAAGCCCTGAAGCCAAAGCTGTAGAAACCTAATGCTGCATTTTCTCCTCCTTGCAGCTGGTGAAACTGGCAAAGCGTCTTAAGAAAGAAAAAGTCAACGTTGACATCATCAATTTTGGAGAAGAGGTGAGACTTGCCCGCCTCTCCTTGGAATTCCCATCCAAGCTGGGATTTTGTGTCCGGTCCAGCCTGAAGTCTTACCTGGGCACGTGGGTCAAGAGACCAAACAGTTCTCTGAACCTCGGTCCCTTCAGCAGAGGGACTGCTAGAAAAGCTAAATGTCCTAAGAAAATCTCCTTTTTAAAAAAAGCTAAATGGCCCGAGAGACCTCTCCTGCTTCCCTAAAAGCAGCGCTTTTCTCCTTAAAGAAAAACTTTAAGGAGAAACACTTAGGTGCAGTGTGGCGTGACCCTGAGCCACTTGTCCAGCTCTCCGGTCCCCCTGGGGGACGTGGGGGTGTTTGGAGGTCCCTGCCAGGGGGGAGCCAGCCTCTAATCCCAGTTTTTCCCCGCAATAGGAAGCCAACACGGACAAGCTGACGGCCTTCATTAACACCCTGAACGGCAAGGACGGGACGGGCTCCCACCTGGTGACGGTGCCGCCGGGGCCCAGCCTGGCCGAAGCCCTCATCAGCTCCCCGGTCCCGGCCGGCGAGGGGGGGGCCACGCCGGGCCCTGGGGTCTCCGCAGGCCCTGCGGGTCTCCATGGAGGAGCAGAGGCAGCGGCAAGAGGAGGAGGCCAGGAGGGCCGCGGCGGCCTCCGCTGCCGAGGCCGGGATCGCGTCCACCGGAGGGGATGGTAACGGACTTCGGAATTCCCGCATCTGCCACGGGGAAATGGGAGGGGGTTTCTGCCCAGTTGGGCTGTTTATCTGTGGAATTTGGGGCAGATCCCAGCTTACGAAACTCCTCTCTGTTCCCAAGAACAATCCATCCCCCTGTCCCATGAATGCCAAGGGAGCCGCTCTGCTCAGAGACGCGTCCCCGTGTCCCCAGGGGGCCACTCTGCTCTATTCCTCGTCCCCAGCGTGGCTGCATTTACCCCCATGCAAGGGGCCCTTGTGTTTCGGGTGCCAGCAGCGCCCTCGGCACC